AGAATGTTCACATGGATAGTATGCATAACATTATAGTTTCAGATTTCTACAAGCAAATATATAACTTTTTACATATTTAAATGCTTGATACTATATTTCTATAAATTATAGTAAAATTTCCCATTTATTCCAATATCCCAAACTTTGAACAATCTTTTCATAATCATTTATTGGTGAATTTATGTTTACCAATCAAAAGAAAAAAAATAAATTGCTGATTTCGTTTGAGGTGGAAATGCACTTGGTCCTTAAAAATTGCCTATTGCTGCAATCCATTTGGTTTATAGGAGACTATAAAAGGTGACAAACAACTTAAACTACAAGTGTCCCCTGTCTTTACCCCATGCTAATCTATGGGTGTTGCACTGACAAGGCCTGCTGCCCTGCCAACATGCCGCTAGCCTATGGTTACTTCTTCCCTTGGGCTGCAGCTTTCAGATGTTGCTTATCCACTGATGAAATCAGGTCCCACCTGGGCTCTTCTATGTGGTTTGTGGTATAATTTAAAAAATGATATCTCACTACATTTAGTAATAAATGAGTAACCCTATAATTAATGTGTAGAGTAATGTCTCTTGGCAATGAAACACAAATAAAACTGAACTGATTTTATGACATAAATGTACCACTTTAAACATTTACCCTATTGCTATAAGTCAGTAGTGCCATATCCCTCATCACCAACATTGTTAGCCAAGTTCAAAAATTCTGCTATGTTTCTAGAGTATTCCATCAAATCGTGAGACTGAATGTATTATTGAAATAAAGTTAGTGAATTATCAGAAACATTGTTCTCAGTGAAAAAATAATTTTAAAACCAGATTTGAAATCACCATTGAAATACTTTGATAACAGAGCAAAAGTGAAAGAAAGCTAATGAAGAAGTTGGGATTTTTGAAACATCTAATGAGTAAAAAAATAATTATTTAAATCCATTTTAACTGAGCTACTTAGGGCGTTATGTTTTTGTTTTTATTTCAAAAGCAAATATTTAAAAATCCTTTATTTTCTCATTTGATAAGCATGTTATTCATACAATATAGATAGAATCAATTAAGGATGCTTGGCAACAGATTCAAGTGTCCAATAGATTTTTTAGCATTTTACATTTTAAATGATCTTCCTATATCTCTTATATCATCACTAAATACATAAAATAATAAACAAAACATACCTTTGAGAAAGTTGACCTTTAATTTAAGAGTAATTTTACTGAATTAAACTTTTCTATGTGTTTGTGACTTTCGAGCTTTCTGTGGTAAGATAAATGAGACAATTTCACCTCTCTCTGTGTGTTGCATCTTTGTTAGAAATGAACATCATATCTAATTAGGTTCTTTGGTATTCTTTTTGGGAAATGCACTACCAATTCATACTTTGTTTTGTTTTATGTTTGCTGCATTAAAATTACTTAGCAGACAAAAGCTGAAACAAACAAAGTAAAAACCATGTAAAACAGGAAGAAAAATTCTAAGGAAGATACTTCACTAGAAATTAATTACTTATTTGAAAGTTTAGAACTTGAAGAACTAAATATTAACTAAATTTCATAATTACAGGAATTATTTTTTGCTTGAGCCAAAACTCTTGAGAGTTCACATTTCCCTAAAGATATGTAAAAGAAGCAAAATTATTGTTACTAAGAAAATGCCTGGTAAATATAAGATAACTTATTCATTTTTACCTGAACATCTGGTAGCAACCATTTTAAATATTAAACTGAAACCTATAGACTTACAATTAAATTCACTGAAATAGAGTTTAATATATTAATGACTTAAAATTATAATAGTATGAATAACTTTTTTGGTATGACATTTTTTCATCATACCTGCAATCACAAAACTTATTTAAGAATACAATAAATAAGGTTTTGGTGTGAAAATTTTACAATAGGTTAAATGTCCAGGTACCTTCTTTTTAAAGTCCAATGCTATATGTTTTCTCTGACAAATTTGAGTTTGAATTATTTGGATCATTTTCTAATGTGGCTGTAAAAATAAATAGCATATATGCTTAAATGTAGGGTTTTTTTTTTTTTTTTGCATTTCTACAACCTAAAGACCAGTTTTGTTGAAAAAATAAAATTTAACAACTTTTAATTTGTCATGTGGAATCTGATTCTATGTGCTTTTTATTACCTCCATATATTTATCTAAGTGAAACATAAAAATGGTTGTAATAATAGAGAATTTAAAGCAGCTTTTGCACATGAGCAGTAATGCTAACTAATATGGTGAATAAAGGCTGAATGTAAACTCTCAGAATTTCTGTTTCTGTTTACAAAGGTATATCTTGGTTAGCTGATACAAACTCCTCATCATCCTAATTAAGCTATAAAGAACTTTGGTGGACAGAATGGGAAAAAAATAGCCAGTAATCATTTATATATAATTGGAAGCCATATATATAATTTTATATATATATAATTTTCAAACTGTAATACAATATACATTAGATCACAGAACCTGTCAAAATATTAGCTTAAAACCCTTCTTTTGCTGGAGTAATGCTCTGGTATTCCAGAGATAACCTAAGTATGACAGAAATCAGTATAATCTAAAATCACCCCAGTTCCTATTAATTCTACTTCATTTATGTCTCTTGAACTGAGCCTTTATCCATCTCTCTTGCCACTTGGTTTAGGCTTTCAATTATATTTCATTTGTACTATTTTAATAGCCACATTTCTGTCCACAATACCAGCATTTCACATTCTTGCCCACTTATTTATTTCTGCCAGACTTATATGCCCATATAATTAATCTGGTCATATCACTCCACCGCTAATACATTCCTATCAGCATCCTACTAATCAATAATTTCAAATCCAAACCTCTGAACTTGGCATATGTGTTCTGAAGCAGACCCTTATTAGCTTGCAGTCAGCATTTTCTTCACTTGCACTGCACTCCTAAAAAAACACCCAGTTTTTTCATCTTCCTCCTGTCTGCCTTCTCTACTTACCTGTTAAAATGTCACCTTCTCTTCTAAAGTTCTGTGGATTCCCTGAGGTAAAAGTAGTTGATTCATGAAAGTATTTTCTCACAATGCTTTGCTCATATTTTATTTAGAGATTAACTTTTTAATTATTTTATATGCCTATAATCTCACATCATTCTGAGCTCCTTGTAGATATTAATAATTGCATTCATATTTATATCTTTAGCACTAAAATCAGTAGCATACGGAGGTGAGTATTCTCACTAAATATTTGTTGAATGAATGAATGGATAAATAAATGAATTCACAAAGGTCTGAATAAAAAGCCAACATAAAAATGTTATTAGAAAACTTGCTGAATGTAGAAAACACTTCCAAACAGTCATGAAACATCTACTAATTATTATTCTAAGGTTGTCTTGAGACCACCTCTTACAAACCAAAATTTTCCTCTCAATATACTGAATGATATACTTTTCGTCATAATGATGAGTCATTAGGACAGTATCCTTAATTTCACATAACATCAACCAGTGTACAACTTTGTAAAAGCACATCTATAATGTAGATATTTGCATTAATTTAACATAAACTTGCATGTGGGTTCAAGCCCACAGATCTTGGTATTAAATGTATACCCCTATTCTAACTGCTATCATCTATCTTTATGTACTCAGATATATGAAATCAGGTCATAACCCAAAGAAAATATTCTCTAGAAAAGAATAAGGATTCATGGTGGTACAATACTCCAAAACCTACATTGGTTTTCAGATTACTGGCCTGAATATGGTGATTGATACAAGAAGAGCTAAAGAAAATTTTGTGAAGTGAATAAAACCTTGTATGAGGCTAAATATTATTGAATACATCTAGACAGATATGATTACTTTTATCATGTGTAATGTCATACCAGAGAATTCAATTCAAAACAGCATAAACACTATATTAGTTTTCATGTCATTTTCCATAAGTATAATAGTGTTTAATTAAGTGGTAAGGTCCTTGCCAAATGCCTTTTTAATTGTTGAAATGTTTTATACATAGCAATATTTATGTAAAAAAATTTATGTATAAAGAATAATGTGATGTGAGAAGCATATTTGAATATCATAATAAAATATCTTTCTGTTTTGCCTTTATGTATGAAAACATGTATCTCATTTTACCTATTTTTTTCTAATTGAGGACATGGTAACTTAGAATATATATGATCAAAAACTACATTTTTATGAGAATCGATTTGTAAATTCAAGATTGGGTGATATTACAAATATAGTCAACCTTTGTAAAATTACATTAAATGATCATAAATTTAATTACCTGTCACAAAGAAATAAAGATATGGTCAATAGGTCATGGGAGAAAATAAATTTTGAACATCCTTCTTCCAAATTAAATACTGAAATAACTTAAACTATTTTTTGCAACTTTTGTTATATTGATAAAATAGTATTACTTCTTTAGTTCTATGCTGTATCATAATTCCCCACTATTGTTCATATAATATGGCAATATCTTAAAAAAAATAATTAATGGTTATTCCCAAATTACTAAATTTCATCTTCATGGATAACCACATTTATTTTTTTTTTTAAATATGCTATCCAGTTGTGCCCATTTCTAATGACTATATAGCCACCTAGAAAAATTTAATATATTTAGCTTAGTTTCTTTTTTTCTCAAAAAGTCCAGATTTTTTTTTTTTTTTTTTTATGATTATAGAATGTCTGGTCTAAAATAAAGTAGTCCAAGAACAAGCCAAGAGTAATAAGCACTAAAATTATATTTTAAAATCTGAACAACCAATATACATAGAAAAATCAAAGATATACTTAAATCTGTCAGATCAATTCATTCTTGTAATCCCCTCAAGGGCAATCATATAATATGACACCAATATTTAAGCTTTAAAAATTATGTGACCATCTATTACATTATGGATGGTACATGTCCTCAAACCTTTTTTACCACTTATAATACAAGATATGGCTACTCCATTAAAAATACATTTTCTGTTATAATTGCCTAAACTGCTTCTTCCTTTTATTTTTCAGAATGAAGAACAAATTTTGGTATTTTGAGTTTGGCACATCTGAAACCTTCTCAGCCACCTGCAAGAAACTACATGAATCTGTAGAAATAGAAGTAAGAAAAATCAATTCTTTATTATAATACTATGAAATGGCTTGAATTTGATTATTAATATGTCTGTGGAGCCCATAGAAAGTTATATTTTGAGCAATCCACATAGCTTATCCATTATTTCTAAAATTTCATTCCTATCACTCATTGGAAATCTAGCACTGTCTGAAATATTAGTATAAAGTTAAGTTTGAGTCTGAGTTATTTTAATACAGTATAAAATAGAGATGGAACAACTTTAGAAATTGGTAGAAACGTTACTGGGCATAGTGCAGATAGAAAAATGTAAGATAAAAGAAAGTACTTGAAGAGAAAGAGAAAAGTTTGCAAGATACATTAAAAAAACTTATTATTTTCAGGTCTCAATATCTTATAACCTTTAAAACACAGTTCACTAAAATTGTACTTACTTTCATGAATAAAGGTTAAAAAGTATACTTTTTCATTCTATTCCTATTCGTTAACTAGATTTTCTCAGTTCCCAAGGTTGCCATTTCTCCCATTACATTTTGTAGGAAGTGGAAAAGCCAAGACAGAGAGCAAAGATAGCAAGAAAAATACAGTTTCAAAAGATGTGGAGCAAATAAGTCGACCAAAAAATATAGATGCTGTACAACTAAAAGTTTTGGAGATGAATTACAATAGAAAATGACTTAGTTTGATTCGGAGATTTTAGGAATTAAAGGAAAAGAAAAAGTTATATTTTGATAAATAGTAAAGACAAACTAAAGGAACAGAATTACAAAACAAGAAAATCTCATGACTAATTGATATGAATTCAGAAATATTGGCTTCAACACTTTTTCTTTTAAAAATAAATACATAACTTTTCTTCTGAGACCTAAATCATTAGTGGCATATATTCAGGTAGTAAGTTCGTAAACAAAAGTGGTTATGGACCACATGAAATTGTAATAGCCTGGCTTGGTTCTTCATTACCTTACCTTTCTAATTTACTGTTAATAATAATAACAGCAGAAGTGATACTATTTCAGAATGTAACATTTTCCGACTTTTTTTTATTATAATCGGTGAATAAAGTATTGGAAGTAAAATTGATGGAGATGGAATGAAAAAAGCCTTTCACTACTGAATCAGATCATATTCCTGAAAAGGGATGTAATCACAGAAGATAAAAGACTGGGATCAACATGACCTTTCTATAATTACTGTTCATGAAGATACGTGTGTGTGTGTGTGTGTGTGTGTGTGTGTGTGTGTGTGTGTAGTGTTATATATTTACATAGTTATATACAGACATATATATTTATGAAAAACATCTAAAATCTCCCTTTACTTTCATTAAGATTTTTTTAAAAAATATTTATATAATGGATTTTGAGCATTTCTTACCCTCAGAATGCTCAAAAAATTTGTAGAAGGCAAAAATGAAAACAAATATATAAAATTAGTAGTTACAAAACAGTCTTTGGGATGTGGAGTATGACATAGAGAATATAGGCAATAATATTGTGATGCTATGTATAGAACCAGACAGGTTCTAGAGTAACTGGGAGGATCTCTTCATAACATATTAATTCCTAACCATTGTGCTATATACCTGAAATTAATAATAAAATATATATATGTGTACGTACACACACACACACACACACACACATATGTAAGTATGGTTTCTGGTTGAATGTAAGTTAGATACTCTGAAGCTTCTTGCACCTCTACTTACCTTACCCTACCACTGAACACAGATCGAAAAAAAAATTATCTAGGAGAAATATTCCATGTTCATAAATAGGAAAACTCAATATTGTCAAGATGTCATTTCTTCCCAAATTAATCTATACATTCAATACAATCCTAATCAAAATTTCGGTATTACTTAGCAATACCAACAACTGATTTCAGAGTTTATGCGAGAGTCAGAAGACCCAGAATAACCAACAGGATGTTGAAAGACAGCAAAACTTGAGGACTGACACTACCTGACTTCAGGACTTATTATAAAGCTACAATACTGAAAACAATGTGATATTGGTGAAGGAATAGACAAATCAATGAAACAGAATAGAGATCCCAGAAATAGTTATAGTTAACAAATCTTTGATAAAGGAGGAAAGGCAATACAATGGAGCAAAGAAGTCCTTTTTCACAAATGGTTCTGGAACGACTGACCATCTGCAGGCAAAAAAAAAAAAAAGTCTAGGCACAGGCCTTCACTCTTAACAAAAATGAACTGAAAAAGGATCACAGACCTAAATGTAAAATGTAAAATTATAAGACTTCTAACACAGGAGAAAACCTAAATGGCCTTATGTACGGCAATACCTTTTTAGATATAATTCAAAAGCACAATCCATGAAATAAATTGATATTTGGACTTCATTGAAATTAAAAATTCTGCTCTATGATAGATAATGTCAAGAGAATGAGAAAACAAGCCACAAATAGAGAGCAAATATTTGCAAAAGACACATCTGATAAAGGACTGTTATCCAAAATATACAAAGAACTCAAAACTTAACAATAAGAAAATAACTCCATTGAAAAATGGGCCAAAGACTTTAACAGACACCTCATCAAAAAGATATACAGAAGGCAAATAAACATATGAAATGATGCTCTACACCATATGTCATGAGGGAAATGAACATTAAAAGAAAAATGAGATACCACTACAAACCCATTAGAATACTGAAAACTAGATCCAGGTGAGGATGTGGAGCAACAGAAACTCTCACTGATAGTAGGAATGCAAAATGGTACAGCCACTTTGGAAGACCATTGGCAGTTTCTTAAAAAACTTAACGTACTCTTCCTATATGATCCATCAATCATGCTGATTGGAATTGAAAACCCAAAGGAGTTAAAAACTTATGTCAATGCAAAAACCTGCATATGGATATTTATAATTAATGATTGCCAAAACTGAGAAGCAAACAAGAGATCCTTTGGTAGCTGGATGGATAAATAAACAGTGGTACATCCAGACAATGAAATGTTATTCAGTGCTAAAATAAATGAGCTATCAAGACATGAAAGGACATGGAGGAACCTTAAATGCATTTTCCAAAGTGAAATTTGCCATTCTGAAAAATGCTACATACTGTATGGTGCCAATATATGATATTCTGGAAAAGATGATACTATGGAGACAGTAAAAAGTTCAGTGATTGCCATGGGCTATGGGGGGAGGGAAAGTGAATAGAAAGGACACAGAGGATTTTTAGGGCAGTGAAAAAAAACTCTATGATACAGTAGTGGTGGATAAATATCATTATACATTTTTCAAACACATAGAATGTACACTAAGAGTGACCCTGATACAAACTGGATGTTGTGATGGGTCAATGTAGGTTATCAGTTTTAACAAATGTAACACTCTGATGGTAGACATTGATAATAGGACAGTCTGTACATGTGTGGGGACAGAGGGTATATATGGGAAATCTTTGTACCTTCCTCTCAATTTTGCTGTGAACTTTAAACTTTAAAAAAAATGTGTTCATTAAAAAGAAAACATTGATCTATAGCATATTATATGTGTCACAAAATAAAAAAATGTTCAAGAAAAAGTTTGTGTCACATAACAAAAGACATTTGAATGAAAATAAATTTAGAAAACACTAATTTTAAGGTTAATAAATGATGAAATTAGTGATTTTGTTACACTGAGCCTTACATCTTATGGAAAACTATTTAGAATGTTCCCTCAAGAAATTTGGACAACTAGAACTAAGTTATTCTTCTTAGGGAAGTGTTTCTACATGCCCTCCAAGTTTGGCTTACAAGCTCTGCATTTACTGGCTTATTCTGGGAACCATTGCAATAGCATTTATAAATCGGAACCAATGCTGTGCACTCCCCATTCTATTGTTACATATCTTGAAATACTGTTATAATTTTATGTATTTATCTCAATTTTAAAACTTGATATGTGTATATGTGTGTGTGTATATAGAGATGGTAATGCAAAATCTGCTTCTCTACTTACTTTTTAATGAATCCAGTCTATCATATTAGCAGAATGTGCCTTTCTACCCCTAAGGTTACTTCATAATTAAATATAACAAAAACAGCCATTTGGAAATTTGATATTCTGTTTCCTATTGCTTCCTGTTTGGCCTAAAATTATACCAACTATGGCTTGAAAATATATAACAGAATAAAACCACTTCAGTACAGGAGTATCTCAAGTAAAGGGTGTATGTTTTATCAGTAGCTTCTTCAAAACAAAACATTTACTGTATGACTCTTTATTTCGTATTTCTCTTTCATATAGGAAGCTTCTTCCAAAAAGGGTGAATATTTACAATAATATGAATATCATGAGATGGTAATAACAGAGCTAAGATTTATCTATTATTAATTATACTCCATGCTTGATGCTAAGCATACATTATTTTATTTAGTCTTCCTCAAAATTCTATGAATTAAAGAGATTTTATTCTATTATATATCCACTGCAGAGATGAGCAGATGAGCATTTTTTTTTTTAACAATTTAAGAGAAATGAGAAGTGTGTTGCTGTAAAAGGTTTAAATCTAAGGGAACAAATCTATTGTAGATTATATACATCTATGTGTCTGTGGGTGTAAAATGGCAACATATAGGCAATATATATGGCAAGAGAGATTAGCAAAGTAGAAATTTTTAGTTTTCAGAATTTCAGTTATCTTCTAACTTTGTTACAAAATATAAAAAAAATTGTAAAACTTTAAAATTGCAATATAATATATTAAAAGCAATTTGTATTAAAGTATTTGGGGCACGTACCTAAGAATCCTAGGTCTGCATCTGTCATTGAAACTATAATATTCGTGGATTTTTGATTTGCTCTATGTACCACACAAATTTCTTGAGATAATAGAATAGCCCATTCTCCAAAGTATTTCAATCTTTTGGTTGTCAGTGAGACTGGGAAGGATGGTAAGTTTTAAGGCCAAGAATTTCCATCCCAAAATATTGAGATTTGTCTTAATGATTAAGTACATCTATAAAACCTTAAATGATCTCAAGAATTAACAAATGGCAATAAAAGTATT